TTAGTTTTCAATGGGCTGATCTCCCAGAGGCATTTCAGCGGGGCGAAAATTTCCTTGATTTTCATTGATGGAGGAATAACTTGACCGGAAATGAACCCTGTGCACGGGTTTTATACGTTTTGGCACAAACAGATGAAAATAAATAGAATGATTGGATTAGGAAAGTTCTAAGACCTTTCTCTCTAAAGAGAAGGTTGCATTTTTGTTAGGCAAATTTCTAATTATTCGGAAATCGTGAGATGCGGTCTGGTGTGACGGAGGTTTCATAAAAACATTTTCTTTATCGTGTCAACGTTTCGATCTTTAATGAGATCATCTTCAGGGCAAAAAATCCAAGCAAAATCCTAAGTACTCGCTACTCACCATTTTGAACACAAACACAATTTCGACTTCAACAAACCAAAAATATTACCCACAGAACAAAACGACCTTAAATGTAACTTTTTAGAAATGGTTTACATCAACAGAGATATAATATTTTTGGATTGTTGAAGTCGAAATTGTGTTTGTGGTCACAATGGTGGGTAGCGAGTGCTGAGGATTTTACTTGGGTTTTTTGCCCTGAAGATGATCTCAATAAAGATCGAAACGTTGACACGATAAAGAAAATGTTTGTCTGAAACCTACGTCACACCAGACCGCATCCCACGATTTCAGAATAATCATCGACTAACGATCACTAATTACCACAAATTTCTAACATTGAGATGATTAATTTCCAATGGCTGTTATCAAAGGACACCTCCATAAATTACACTAGTATTATAGTAAGAAATTAATGTTAGTTATGTGCAGAATCAGTCTTAATGGTAGTAAGATAAATTACGTTTATTTCCGTACCTTTTATATTTGGAATGGGAAATATTTTCACCTCGGTTTCTTAGTTCGGCCAAGACGAAAGCAAAGAACTGCTAAAATCTTATCTTTATAATTTAATCCATTATATTTCGTGGTTTGATTGACCAAATGACTTCTCTCAATTAATTAATCTTTTTATGTAACGTATTGGTTAATGTAAAAGTTAGTGTCTCTAGCGCGATTCGAACCCATGACTTTCAGCTTAAAATTTGAGATAAAACAAGTTAACTAAACTTCCATGATAAAATAATCTACGATGTAACTAATCAAATAGTAGTGGATAGGATAAACCATAAACCTTATTTTTTTCGACATTAAAAAATGCTAATTTTCTCTTTAAAGTGGCAAATTTCTTCAAGTTTTAATCAGCCCATGCAGGGCAGTTACTACACTACGGATGCTGTTATGACACCCTTTTATTTCTGACCACTCTCGCACACTTCATGTTTTGAAATGAGAAATTAAAAATGAATGGCTAACCCACTCATGTGCTGTCCTGATGAGCAGTTCGTGGCGTGACACTGGCATAGAAGGGCATGTTTAATGTGAAGAACTAATCCAATGATGATTAATAATATAAATCGCCTCATATCTGATCGACATTTAATATTTAATGGATTAAATAATGGACGTACATTTAACAAATAGAATTTCTAGGTGAAGCTGATTGAATTTACAAAATAAATTGTTTAACGATAATAGTCATGTGGATTAGGGTTGTAGTCAGAAAACCAAAAAGTGCTATTGTACAAATGCCCAGCTTTCGACGATATATTTTGTCTTCTCCAGGGGCTACTGAGACAATTTTAATTAATTTTTTACATTCATGTAGATAACACAGATTCTTGACAATTTACAGGTACGAAGTTGAAATTTAAAGCCCACATGTATTAAATACAAAAAGAAACCTCTTATCTTCACTACTATTTTAATTAAATACATATGTATCTAATTTAACTAATAATAATTAAATACTAATATACATTTCACAGATATATACCTATAATATAACATTAGTATTTAAGAGAAAGAATGGTGAATCTTTTTGCTCTAATCATCAATCTATAGAATGATGACTAGAGCAAAAAGATTCACCTAATGTTCCGTCAGAAACTGGTTTTGTTAAATAAATAACTTTTATTTACTTATTCTTACTTTTTTTTACTAAAATGTATTGTTCAGATTGTAGGAGGGGTGCTGGTCTTGCTCCAAAATCCCACTATAAATTACACTTAGATCATTCAGATCCGTTTTTAGATTAGATGATTTATTATCCTGTGTTGTGCTCCTTAGTATTAACCTCAAAGTCAAAGTTATGATTACTACTAGGCTTATGTTTTGCTAATGCAGTTCCTGGTCTCTCAACATCTAAGAGATACTTCTTTGTTTGACCATAATAACCAGTGAGACATTGTAAATTTTATAAAATACACAACATTGGAGTTTTTTTTAACAGAGGTTTTTTACATTTCAATTTAGTATGGATTCCTACCTTTTTTTTTTAATTTGAATACTACTTTTATATTATTGATTTTTGTTTCAAATAATCCTTTTAATTTGTTTGATGTTCTGCGATATATGTTATATGTTGATAAAATCTTTCTCTCACTGGTGGGGATTACCTTGTAGTTATACTCATTCTGCTGTTCATTAACCTGTTTATTAATGAATTTGGATATCCATTATTCATTGACATAGATTGCACATTCATTCTTTTTTCCTTATGGAAACAATTATCACTACGTTTTTATGCCCTATCTATAAGGTTGTACTAAATAATAATTTTCATTTTGAATGAATGAGCAGATGAATAATGTAACACCCCATCAGAACTGAAGAAGTAGATTATTAGAGTTTAAGAGAAGAGAGTCTAGAAAAAAAATTAATAGCGAGTTAACAAACATGTCAATTTTCCTTTTTGATGTTCAAGAGAGTTAGTGCGTGAACCCTCGCCTCAAGCACCCGCAGGTGCTTTTATCTCTCAAAACGTCCATTCGTCTACCCCGAAAGAAACAGCACGCTCTAGTTAACCACCCTACCACTCTAAAAAAGTGTGATTTTTATTTCTCTAAATTAACCGATAAACATCAATGAGAGCAATAATTTTTCTATGTTCCTCTGCAAAGCGAATGAAGAGCTGGCGAGAATAGTTAATTTCGAAACCTATAACATCATGCAGGTCATCAATAAATAGAGAGAAAAACAAGGAGCTAAGTACGTCGCCCCGTCTAACCCCAGATTAAATCGAGAAATATCACGAGACAGTGTTATTAATTTTAACAGCGGAACCTGAATGAGAGAATAGGGCAAAATGATGATTTATTTGTAAGGTGAGTTCTCACTGGGGGAAATGGCTAAAACTCTCGATTATCTAAAACTAACGATTTGTTTAAAACAAAGCTTTATTGTTCTTAAAGAGACATTTGAGTTCGACAAGTTAAAGTAAGCATTAAATACTTCGTACTTTTTACTTAATTATAGTCCACCAGTTACCCTACACCAGATTATTTACAAGGGTAAATTAGGTATTTTAAAATTTAATAAATAAGAATTAAATTAATTTAAAATTTAAATAGGTAATTTAAAATTTAATAAAAAAAAGTCTAGTATGGTCATTACCCAATCTTTTTGCCGGCCAATCCTCACGGTTTCGGTTTATGCATTAGGAAAAATGCCAAAACGCGTATGAACAAATTAGCAAATATAGGCAGATGAAACCAAAACGATCCGTATCGACCGAACAAACTGCAGGTTACATCACTTCACAGACCCTTGGAGAAGCCTCAAAGTAAAAAATCATGCACTTCCTTTGGTATAGTTTGCAGTCTTTTGCGTTTGAGCCGTCCTTGCTGAGATGGTGACGATGGGTTGGCTGTATCTTGATCCAGAAGTGGGTTGTTGTTGTGGTTAGCCTGGTTGGCTTAGCCTTTCAAGACGGCGAGCTATCGCGCTCTAACCTGTTCACTTTTAGGCTGAAGTTCAAACGGGCGTGCTTAAAACGGCAAACAGCGGCGTTATGTTTTCTACATTTCCCACTCTTACTAGAGCTAGAAAAATAACTTAAACAACACACTGCTTCTACGAACTATAATTGAAAATTGAACAGAGCAGTACGCACTCAGTACTTCATCTTGGGCACGAATTGCGTTGAACGTCCTAGGGTTGAAAGAAGACGATACAATTTGCCACATTTTTAACATCCATCACTTATTCAGACGTACCATCGTCCTGTAACGAATCAACAATATCGATTCTGGGGTGATTTGTATTCTTGGAATATAAGGTAATTCTGCAGCTCCCCGAGAGCCCACAGGAGGAACAGAAAGAGTTTCTTTGCTAAATTTAAAGGAGAACCATGACTAAGTACCATGTTAGTTGAGTAAATTTGAGACAAGTCAGACCATTTCAACGACTTATCTAACCGAACCCTCAGGTGCCAGCCGACGGAGCCTGTAAATTATCTTCATTCTGTAAATTATACGATGGCTTAATTAAAGACGTTCATATTTATGAGCTATTTTTTACACAATTCGTTCGTAATCTTCAATTCAAGGGTCGTATAATGACTAAAACGCGATGGTCTTGGTAAATGGAAGAGTGGCAATGATGTAAGCACTGGTTATCATAAAGGAAGCTTAATGTGTTAATCTTTGATAAGAAGCTTCTCGATCAATTTTCCAAACATGGTAACAGGCAGATAGGTGGTGAAAATCAGGGTGATCACCTAGTTGTACGGGAAAGAAATGCAGGCTTCAATTTGTAATTTTTTTTGTATAACAATATGATGGGCTAAAAAGGATTGAATCAGATTACTTCACCTTACCGCACTCACTCCACCATCCAACTAGTAATCTGTTAATATTCTCACAAAGGTATAAAATATTTTTGAGGTCTTGTTACACGGATTTTCGTGTCGTGGGAACGTTTTATGTCACAAGTCTCAATTTGGGCGTTGTGAGAGTTGCGCTGTGTTGAAGTCCTAAAGCAACACGCTCTTGGTAAAAAAAAACAGTGGAATGATTCAAAAACAGACGAATCTAAAATTAAATAGTTAAATAGCCGAAAGTTTTTTCTCCTTCGCCCTCACTCGGATATCGTGGGCTGGAATTGGAATTTGGAACGTGATAATTTTGGTTTCCAACCACCCACGCGAACGATGACTCGCCGCAAAACGTGGCAGAAGGTCTACTCGATCCAACTGGTATTTCCCTACCTAGGGCAATGCGAATCGGTTCGAGTCAACCGACGGACTGGTCCCCCAGACTGTTCTATTTCTGTATAGCTCTGTCTCCAATCTTATTATAGTAACTGCATTCACATTCCGCGTTGTATACAAGTCTTTCCACATCGGATTGGACGGCAAAGGTCCGGTACCAGTTCTCTCCAGCAGCAGCGACGGACCTTGGGACCCACGGGTTTGCAACATGGAATCACGCCCCCTGTCCGCGGAATAAGGCGATAGTCGGTTTTATTTTTGAGTGTCTTGTGATTGTGAAATAGTTCAAGTTCTATATTCAAAAAAACTACTGAAAAGGTAAATGTGATTTTATTTACAATATTCCAAATGATAATAACTCCAGACAAATGTTTCTTACATAATTAAAACTTTAAAAAAATTATTTCCTCTTCAAAGGTTTGGCTAAAATTACATTAATGAATGTACAAACATCAGTAATGCATGTTTGGTAAGAAATTGAGAGGCATTCATATTTTCCGTTTATTGGACAAATATTGGATTTATTTGGGGCTCTCTCACAACACGACATACAATAATTATACATCTACACAGAAAACAAACACTTTGAGCCCTGAAGATGATCTCAATAAAGATCGAAACGTTGGCACGATAAATGGAAAATGGTTTTTAAAAACCTACGTTACACCAGACCTCTTTTCACTATCTCCAAATAATCATTGGATTTATTGGATGACAACAATGGATATATTTTATATATGGCCATATATATTATGGTAGGATATAAACATATATATGATATAATAATAAAACGCCTAACGTTCGTAACGAGTAAATTAAACAAATTTACAGAAGTTATCAATAAAAAATTATGCGTAATGTTAATAAATTTGCATGTTTCATATCAAATAAAAAACTGAAAATTGAATTGAATTTTAAAAAAATTCTATGAACTACATAAAGAACTTGTAGCCAACTTGATACTCAGTTTGGAAGATCCTAAGTCACAATAATACTTATTATGCTTACGATCTGCTACAAATATTTTGACATTTAAAATGCTTCTATTATAATCTAGCATACTTTACTGGATAGTATATCCTCAGGGTGGCCGGAATTAAATGCTCCACTCGTTTGTTAAATTATATAAAATTTGAAAAAAGTCACGTATTGAATATTTTTAAGTTATATGGCCCAGAAAGAACGGTACAACTTTTTAAAAACTTTTTTAGAGGTACTTTGTTACTTTATTGGTGTTACTTTTGTTTCGAACAATGCCAAAAGAAATTTCAATAAGGTTACATCCAAATTAAAAAACACTTTTTTTTACTTTTGTACTGAATACTTACGCTATTTTTTTAATTGATTAAATTACTGCATAAGCTGATCAAATTGATTACCACTTTTTAAATTAATAATTCTTTTTATTTATTTATTTGTTTATTCTAGCAAAAGCAAAAAAAGTAGCAAGAATTATATTTAGTTTTCAATTGTACAAAAAGTTACCTTTTTAAATCAACTAATTCATTTGATTTTATGAAAAACATTACATGTTTCGAAAATAACGCTTTAAATAAAATACTAAAAAAACGCTGTTCTTTTTCAGTCAAATATGTATTTTTATTACACTTTTTTATTTCGTTTATAGGATAACGTATTAAGGACCAAAAATTGCTTTTAAGTTGCAAAAAAATCCTACAACCATTATTGAACGCAAGTCCCACCAGTCTCGTGAAATTGTGAGCTTTAGAAGAACGTCAAATAATTTTTTGAAAGTTGCAAGTCAAGTGTTTTGGTGAATGCTTTGATGAACTCGCCATCCCTGTTTTATAGATATTCTCTATCAAAAACGAATTTACCAAAAGAAATAAAACAAAAACAACAATTGGTTATAATAGATCAAATAGATTTTGGGAAAATGGTACCGAAAATTTGGCTTTTGTTTCTACTTTTGAACAACTAATTACTTCGAGAAATTGCTGAAATACAATTATAGCTTAACGTTTAAATATAAGGTACAGACTTTCCTGAAAAACAAATGCAATCAAAGTTAAAATCCATCAAGTAGAAGAGGAGTTGGAACGAAAAGTTGTCCGTCCAAATTCTATCCTAACTAGTGTAGAACATAAAGGTTATATATAGGTACTTAATGTATAGAATATTTCAGGAAGATGAGTAGTGGTCGGAAATTATAGGTGCAATGGTGGGAATCGAACCCACGATCGTGGGGTCCAGGCCAAAAGTATCGACACCCTTACCATTCGGCTACCGCGGCCCCATTCATAATTATAATTGAAAAGTGAAATTCCTAGTGATTTTATTAGAGGAAAGAGGAATAAGAATTTTATGATTGATCTGTATCAAATATAGCTGGAAGAGATTCACAGCAACAGCTATAAACCTTAGATTATCAATTTTTAAATTAATATAATGAGATGACAACTTTCATAGGGGTTCAGTTCAAGAATGATTTAGAAATGCGGATATTTTAGGTTTGTTTTTTGTTTAACTAAGATCGATTGTCAGTTGAAAATGAATTACGCCCACCTTATGTCAAATATTTTCCTCCGATTTGTACAAATAAAATTAAACATTTTCCAATCGGCGCTTTTCGACATCTTCGCAAATGTTTTCTTTCAAAGCGAATAAAAAATTAGACCTTTAAACGATTTTCACCCTTGCTTTTTTAATCATACAAAGTTCTATCTACAGATAAATAATTTGCAGTAATGATCAAATATCAAATGCAACGGTCATATATATTATTGTTACAAAAATTGCCCCATTAAGCCTAGTACTATCTGATTTCGGTTAATTTAAAAAATAAAGTTAATGACAATTTTACGCCCATAACAAACGTGAAGGAATAAAACATTCTTCAAGTCAAAAGAGACTTGCTTTCAACTGGATTCTCAAAATTGTCTGTGATCAACAAAGAATGAATTTCTAAAAATGTTACGTTGCAGAATCTTAATTGAAAGCAAAAAATGATTAATTATTGTAAATTAAGTTAATCGTTCTTTTATTGTTTTTTTTCTATCAGTTATCTAACTTTACCACCTCTTAGCCTATATGCATTTCCTCATTTTTTAGTCCTCCCTGGCCGACAGGTACTTTAAAATATGGATCGGATTCTCTCACTTTCCTTTGTTTGTACAAGGCGAACGCGGGCGTCCCTCAGGGGGGCGTCTTTGTTCCATTATTGTACTCAATATATATATCTGATACCTCTTCGACACCGCTATTCCACTATATGGTCATTACATTTCTATTATATCTTACAACTTCGAACCGTGTAACACACTGAACCTTCCAGGCACCAACATTCCCAAGAACAAGTAAAAAAAAGGATAATAGTACTCAATTCATAAACAATTATAACCTTCCGTCTTATCATTCTAACACCAATATGTTTTAATCTAAACTCCCTTTCTACCCCAAATGTCATCCACTATCTCAGATCTCAGACTGTATCTAGACCTAAATTCCTAAAAGGACAGAACTGAACCGACGATACAGATTACTTAAAATACACCAATGGACATATGGAACTAGGATGTTCAACCAAACCCTCCTTTCTTCTCAGTAGCCAGACCGAACAATTAAGAATCCATAGATCCATTGGGAACGTCTCGTTCTATGTTTCTAACCGCACCATCCGTAACGACCTAAACGTTCCCTTTATAAAATAAGCTTCAAGATTCAGCTACAAAAAATTCCACTCTACAATCCCACTCTAATACTCTCGTACAACAATCCTCCCAATCTCTTCCCGAAATCCTCTTTGATGTCTGAACAGACAGTGGTTCCGAGACCTGCTATCGTGGAGTGTGATTAAAATTAATCAGTGATTTAGTAGTGCTATCGGGGGCGTCGATTGCCGTAACGGTTAAACCATTAACCAGTGTTCATCACTAGATTAGACAGAAAAAAAATAGTACTATCACTCTAATACATCTTTATGTGTCTAGTAACTTGCTTAAATGAAAATAACCTTATGATAAACCAAATAGAAAAGCTAAAGAAAAATTCATTTTTGACTTAAATACAATGGCGGAGTGTTTTGTTTCGGTCGATTGGCTTAAACATTAATATTAATTCAAGAAAAAAAACTTTAACAAGAATTCCAAGTAGGGTTTCTGAAATTGCTTCCAAAATATATTTTATAACTCTAATGAAATGGTTAAAAAGTTAAGAGAAAAATTACGCTTTATAATTGAACTTTATCTTCTTCTTTAACGATCGGTTATTTATCGATACCGTTTGAATAGAAAGGGGCCCAGGTCCTATTTGCTAATTAGTGTGACTTCCTTCACAAAACGCACAGTTATAGAAGGGCTGATCATCAATGATGATTTATTCGGGTCGACATTACGCAATAAACTCAATTAGATACAGCCCAATCACCGCCTAACCGCAAAAAGATGGACACAAAAGGAAGGTTAACATTAACTTATTGCTTTGAATAAAAAGTTGCAAAATGATCTGATAATAATGTAATAAATAAGCTTGAAACGAAACATTTTGCTCAAAAGAGGAAATTAAGGTACTGTACAATACAATTTTTTTCATGATAATGAATTCTGATAATTAAAATGAGTTTCAATGAAAGAACCAAAACCAAAGAACAATATATATTGGTTCTTTCATTGAAACTCATTTTAATTATCAGAATTCATTATCATGAAAAAATTGTATTGTACACTACCTTAATTTCCTCTTTTGAGAAAATGACAAAATGTTTCGTTTCAATCTTATTTATACATATATTACGTATATATATATATATATATATATATATATATATATATAGTGGAAATTCCAAATCATTTACGTTCCTTCTGTTATTTTTTTCAGGAAAGCAATAAAACTGCGTACGTCAAATGGTAACTCATAAACTTTATTGAAATGTATATTATTGGTAATATACAAGGATATTCTTTCCCAGGTAGTACAATGAAAAACAAAAACAAACTCCTTAATATGCAAAAAAATAAAAAATTGAAGAAACGCTGTGCTGGGTACATAGAACTATTTGAATTAAAACTATATTGATACATAGAACAAGGTCAACCTAAAAAATTTAATATATAAAATTAACGAATAAAGATCAATTAAAATTTTAAATATTTACAATGTTTTGATAATAGTTTTTATCAGTTTCTGGCAAAAAATCCAACATGGCAGTGAAATCTTTTTTCTTGCCATCCGACAGGCTTCTGAATCAATGAAATACAAACTTTTTTAATATCATCAGGTTTAGCCCCTTTTTTTAGTACATTAACATTTCCACAAATCTGTGTCATTGAATGTGGTCTTGTGCTGGATAAAACCTGGAT